GCGGGCTTTCTCTAGTTGCAGCGAGTGGGGGCTACTCTTCGTTGCGGTGCGCGGGCTTCTTATTGTGGTGGCTTCTCTTGTTGCAGAACACGGGCTCCAGGCACGTGGGCTTCAGTAGTTGTGGCACGTGGGCTTCAGTAGTTGTGGCACGCGGGCTCTAGAGCACAGGCTCAGTAGTTGTGGTGCACGGGCTTAGTTGCTTCACGGCATGTGGGATCTTCCCGGGCCAGGGCTCGAACCCGTGTGCCCTGAATTGGCAGGTGGATTCTTAACCACTGTGCCCCAGGGAAGCCCTTCATTGTAGTTTTGATCTGAATCTGCCTCCATCTTCACACAGCCTTCTCCTCTGTGTCTCTGTGTCCAAACTTGCCTCTTCTTACAATCACACCACTGATTGGCTGTAGGGCCCACCTTGCTCCAGTATGATGTCATCTCAACTTAATGCTGTCTACAACAACCTTATTTCCAAACAGGTCACATTCCCAGGTTCTGGGAGTTAACACCTGAATTATGTTTTGGGGGGGATGCAAGTCAACCCACACCAGAAGAATAAAGCCACACTGTACACCTGGTGGATTAGGGGGAACCCCACTTTTTACATGGGTTTCCCAGTACAGACTGAAAGCAAGTGCTGCAGGGAGCCCTCTGGATCCACTTTGAGTTCGTGAAGGGGCTTCAGCTCTGCATTAGCTGAGGTCTTCCTGGGGCTTGTGGAAATAACCAGGTCTCACCTGACCTTGAAAGCTGCAGCCCTGTGGACCTGTGGGGTTTGTTCACATGAGCCGACTGGACACAAGGGGGCAGTAGAGGGCAATGACCGGATTCAGCTCTACCTCTGTGAGTGGTTCGCTCTGCCCTTGGGCATCTTCTGGTTTAGCCTCCGTTTCCTCCTCTGTGAAATGGGCTACTACCTGCCTCATAGGAATACTGTGAGGAGGAAACAAGATGATGATGCCGTCAACATTCCAACAGAGTGAGTGCCCTGTCCGTGGGGGTAAAGTACGGTTCTAGTTGATTCTAGAACAACAGGGATTACAGCCTCAGACTGATGGAAACAGGGAAGGCAGAGTAAATGAGGGGAAGGAGCCGGAAGGAAATCCTGACACCCAGGTGAGCAGGGGTGGCGGACAGTCAGCTCCTGGTGGCGGTTACCATGCACGAAGCGCAGATCTGATTCAAGAAAAGACTGATATCTAGACGTATCTCTGATTTGACAGCAAATTTAAAATGTTGTGAAATGCTGTGTGGGCAGGATAAAACTAGGGGTGGTGCATCAGCTGTCAGCCTGCAATTTCAGAGCATGATTTTGGGTAACCTTGCAAGTAGGTGGTGTGCCTCCTGTACTCCCGGATCCCGGACTTATTTGTGAGTTACCAGCTGCCCTCCCCATGTTGAGAGCAGGGGTGTCAGCTACAGAACAGAGGGACCAGAGCAACGTGTACACGAAATGGGTGTGTGAGTAGTCTTCAGTCTCAAACTGAAAAAAAGATCCCTCTTTAAAACCTTCTGACTTGGGGCTTCCCTGGTGGCGCAGTGGTTGAGAGTCTGCCTGCCAATGCAGTGGACACGGGTTCGAGCCCTGGTCTGGAAGCAACGGGCCCGTGAGCCACAAATACTGAGCTCTGTGCGTCTGGAGCCTGTGCTCCGCAGCAAGAGAGGCCGCAACAGTGAGAGGCCCACGCACCGCGATGAAAAGTGGCCCCCGCTTGCCACAACTAGAGAAAGCCCTCGCACAGAAACGAAGACCCAACACAGCCAAAAATAAATAAATGAATAAATAAATTTATTTAAAAAAAAAAAAACCTTATGACTTAATCTGAAGCTTGCTTTTTTTCTTTTTTAAATGGAGGTGAAATTTACATAACATAAAAAGAACCATTTTATTTCATTTTATTTTATTTTTGGCCGTGCGGTGGGCATGTGAGATCTTAGTTCCCCAACCAGGGATCGAACCTGTGCCCCCTGCATTGGAAGCACGGAATCTTAACCACTCGACCACGAGGGAAGTCCCCAAAATAACCATTTTAGGGTGGGCCCTAATTTTTTTTTTTTTTTTTCGGTACGCGGGCCTCTCACTGTTGTGGCCTCTCCTGTTGCGGAGCACAGGCTCTGGACGCGCAGGCTCAGTAACCATGGCTCACGGGCCTAGCCACTCCGTGGCATGTGGGACCTTCCCGGACTGGGGCACGAACCCATGTCCCCTGCATCGGCAGGCGGACTCTCAACCACTGCGTCACCAGGGAAGCCCTGGGCCCTAATTTTTTTAATTAATTAATTATTTATTTATTTGGCTGCACCAGGTCTTAGTTGTGGCATGTGGGATCTTTAGTTGAGGCATGTGGGATCTAGTTCCCTGACCAAGGATGGAACCCGGGCCCCCTGCATCGGGAACGTGGAGTCTTAGCCACTGGACCACCAGGGAAGTCCCAAAATAACCATTTTAAATGAACAGCTCACATGTTGTACAGCCGTCACCTCTATCTAGTTGTAAAACATTCCATCACCCCGAAATGAAACCCTATCCCTGTGGCAACCACAAATGCACCACCTGTCTCTGTGGATTTGCCTGTTTTGGACGTTTCATATAAATGGAATCACACATTATGTGGCCTTTTTTGTCTGGCTTCTCTCACTGAGCATCATGTTCTCAAGGTCCATCCACATTGTAGCAGGTGTCAGCGCTTCACTCCCTTTCATGGCTGAATAATATTCCATTGTACTTTTGTTTATCCGTTCATCACTTGGTAGACATTTGGGTTGTTTCCAATGTGATCATGCTGCTGTGAGCATTCAGGTATGAGCTTTTGCATGGATATGTGTCTTCATTTCCTTTGTCATTTTTTAAAAATAAATTTATTAATTTATTTATGTCTGTGTTGGGTCTTCGTTGCTGCGTGCAGGCTTTTTCCAGTTGCAGCGAGCGGGGGCTACTCTTTGTTGTGGTGCGTGGGCTTCTCATTGTGGTGGCTTCTCTTGTTGCAGAGCACAGGATCTAGGCGACCGGGCTTCAGTAGTTGTGGCACACGGGCTTAGTTGTTCTGCGGCATGTGGGATCCTCCCAGACCAGGGCTTGAACCCGTGTCCCCTGCATTGGCAGGAGGATTCTTAACCACTGCACCACCAGGGAAGCCCTTCATTTCCTTTGGACCTCTGCTCTATTTTGACTTTTGACCTCTATGAGAGCAGGGCAACATCTGATTCATTCTTTACCTCCAAGACCCTCCAAGACCTCCAATGCACCTGGAAGGTAGTGGTTACTCAAAGAACATTCGAAGCATGGTGAATGGGAGAAAGATGGGCGGGGTGGCGGGTGCGGAGGAAGAAGCATGGATAGATCTCACCCTACAGAGGGTGCCAGCTCATGCCCTACAAGGAACAGAGGTGATGGAATGAATGGTTTTGTTAAAGGAAAAGAAAAAGCATTCTACTGTCCTTCCCCATCTAACCAGCTCCCATTCCAGCTGAGCTGGCACTGCTGAGTTGCAGAGATGAATTAACGCTGCAGTGCTTCCCTGAGCCAGCACACCCTGCAGCTAGAGCCTCTGACAGCCCCATGCACTCTGAAAAATTATTTCCCTAGGGAGCAAAGGAGCCAGAGCACGTGGGTCAAAGTCAGGCGGCATGAGCTGTGGTCCAAAAAAAAAACCAGTCTGGGCATGGCCAGAGAAACAGGTTTTATTTTGCAAATTCGTGCTCCACTAAGCATTAAAGGGGCACAAATGTATAGCTGGCTGCCTTTCTTTTTTTAAAAAAATTTACTTTTTAGAAGATTTAGGTTTACAGAAAAGTTGCAAGAATATTACAGAAAATTTCCATACACCTCCCCACACACTCAGCTTCTCCTAAATTAACATTTTACATTAGGCTGATACATTTGTTACAATTAATAGACTGATATTGATACACTGTTGTTAACTGAAGTCCAGAATTTATTCAGATTTCCATAGTCCTTTTCGCCTGATATCCTTTTTCTTTCCTAGGATCCCACCCAAGTTCCCATGTAACATTCAGGCATCATGTCTCCTCAGGCTCCTCTGGGCTGTGACAGTTTCTCAGACTTTCCTTGTTCTCGTTGCCCTTGACGGGTTTGAGGAGGACTGTGGCCAGAGATTTTGTAGAATCTCCCTCAGTAGGAACTTGTCTGGTGTTTTTCTCACGGTTACACTGGGGCGCTGGGTGCTGGGAGGAGGACCACCTGTGAAGGGCCGCCTCATCCTTCATCTCAGGGTGGCTGCCGTCAACATGACTCATCTCTGCTGGTGTTGACCTCAGTCCCCTGGCTGAGTTCATGCTGGTTGGGTGTCTCCACTGTAAAGTCACACCTCCCCCCTTCCCATACTGTCCTCTTTGGAAGGAAGTCACTGTGCCCAGCCCACACTTACAGAGAAGGGTGTTACTTTCCATCTCCTTGAGGGCAGAATATCTACAGACATTATATGAAATTCTTCTCTGCAGGAAAAATTTGTCTCTTCTCCCTGTATTTATTTATTCAATCATTTATTTATATCTGTATGGACTCATGGACATTTTATTTTAAACACTGGCTCACAATCCAATATTTCATGATATATTTTGTTGGTCAGACCAGTCCAGCATTGGCCAGAGAGAGCTCTTTCAGTTGTCTGCTATGTCCATTGGACAACTTCTGGCTGCGTTAATAGCAACAATTCATCGGAGACCAAACCCTGCGGGGTCAGCCCATGAAGAATGCTGCTTATATTCCAAATATAATATAGATGAGACCCTTTTTCTCACTGGGCCTCAGCTTTCCCCGTCCCCACCCCCCCCCAAAAAGGCTTAATATTTATTAGATGATCCAATGGGAGCCCTCCAGCGCTGATTGTTTATGATTTTCTGTGCTCGCGAGCAGATGTATTTTGTTCCAACAGTTTCTCAAAGCTAAACAGATTTTGTTGGTGTCATTTTGTCTGAACTCCACGCTCCTGTGGCTGGACTTGTGGGGCCTGGTGGCTGATGTCCGCTCCCGGCTGGGTCTGCAGGCCACTGTCGGAAGAGACGGGGATGGACTTGCTTGGCAGTGCCACAGAAGACACATCCTGTAAGTTTCCATGCATGCAGAAATGGGCACACGGTCTGGGCTGTGCCCAGCACTATAACTGTAGAAATGTCAGAGGTCATGCTTCCTGGGTGGAATGTCAGGGAAGGGGGTTGCTCTGCTCCAAGTCCTGCAGGGAAAGCAGTGTGGTTGTGGGCCAGAGACGTGTGTGGGCGCCATCATGAAGTCAGTTGCTGTGTGTCCTTGAACTAGTTGCTTAGCTTCTCTGTGCCTCCAATTCCTCATCTACTAAATACAGGTAGTGAGCCTCCCACAGAAGGGGCATGCAAGGATTAAACAAGATGATTTGTGTAAAGTGCCCAGGGGATGCCAGGCACAAAGTCAGCCCTGGGAGGGCTTTGCTGCCCTGAGCACTCAGGAGGGCTCATGGCTCTGAGGATCCAAAGCCCCAGACTTTGAGGACAGGGGGGCCTGGGGCAGCCAGAGAAGCTGCCTCAAACATGTGTTCTCCTCGATGACACCTCCTGGCAGAGTTCTGCTGAGGGTCCCCGCTCTGCCTGCATTTCCCCCATGCAGCCCATCACAGAGCCCACCCTACAGGGGAAAGACTGCCCAGAGAGGGACAGCCACATCCCTGAGGTCACACAGCAGTGAGAGCCATCTCTGCCTACCCCTGTACCACACTATGCCCATGAGCCAGGTAGGGGGACCAATTTGTTCCAGGTTTCTGGGGCCGATCTGGGTAGTTGGTCACCCTGGAATACCAGCCCTTCTTCCTGCCTGAGCACATGGGCTCTGCCTGGTGTTGTCACATTCCCACAGGGTAACCTTGGGCAAATCCTTTCACCCCTCTGGGCCTCCATTTCCTACTTCTGTAAAACGAGGAGTGTGTAGTAACAGTACCCGACTTCCTAGGTGTCACTGGCTGAATGATGACCCCCAAAGATATCCAGATTCTAATTCCAGGAACCCCTGAATGTTCCCTCACATGGCAAAAGGGATTTTGCAGATAGGATTAAGTTAAGGCACTTGAGATGGGGAGATGTGATCACTAATTTTATGTATTCACTTGCCTGGCCCATGGTACCCAGCTATGTGGTCAAACATAATTCTAGATGTTTCTGTTGAGGGTGTTTTTTTAGATGTGATTTACATTTAAATTCATGGACTTTGAGTAAGGCAGATTGCCTTCCATTGTGTGGGTGGGCCGTGTCTAATCAGTCGAAGGGCTCAGGAGGCAGGAGGAAAAAAAACCTCAGGTGTGATTCATCCCAGGGCAAAATTCCTCTCCAGCTGTGGACCTATGAAATCAGGCAATGTCTCTGCTTCCAAAACACGATGGCGGGATGGACATAGAATAGATATTCTCATTCCAAATGGGAGAAATTGGAAGGAAGAAAGGGGTCACGGGTCCCAGCAAGTCTGAAACTTGTTCCAATAGGTTTTAAGCCTGGAGAACCATCTTCTTTGGCTCAATGCCCTATCCTCCAGGTCCATGTGGCACCGTCCATGTCCACGGTGGCATACTGCCGCCGTGCTTCCTTGTACCTTTAGTCTTACTGCCACCATGCTGTGACCCACAGCTTGACCCCATCAGGAAGAGTAGCAGTATTTTAAATCAAGCACTCCTGATTCACTGCTCCTAACACACTTCCCGTGAAAAAGGCAGAGTGAGTTGAGAAGCCTGGGGTCGGATCCTTGGGCAAGTCTCTGCCTCTATGTCCGCGTCTGTAAAATGGGTAACACTTCCCACCACACAAGGTCATGGTGAGAGCTAGAAATCATGCCAGTGCCCCGCACATAGCAGGCACTTGATAAATGTGACTGCTGTGTTTTTATCATTTTCTGCCAAAGCGAATGTTTCTATCCCAGTGTCTCCTGAAGCAGTTACCTCTGACCTGCTTAGGGACCGAGAGATTCAAAGTGAAAAAAAGTGAGATTCAAACTGAAAAAAAAAAATGTGGTCCATTTAATTATGGATCAATGGGGGCTTCTTTGGTGGCGCAGTGGTTAAGAATCCACCTGCCAGTGCAGGGGACACGGGTTCGAGCCCTGGTCCGGGAAGATCCCACATGCCACGGGGCAACTAAGCCCATGCGCCACAACTACTGAGCCTGCACTCTAGAGCCCGCAAGCAACTACTGAGCCCACATGCCACAACTACTGAAGCCCGCGCGCCTAGAGTCCATGCTCCGCCACAAGAGAAGCACCGCAATGAGAAGCCCGTGCACCGCAACGAAGAGTAGCCCCCGCTCGCCACAACTAGAGAAAGCCCATGCGCAGCAACAAAGACCCAACGCAGCCAAAAATATTAATTAATTAATTAATTAATTAATTTAAAAAATTATGGATCAATGAATGTCTTCATCCAATAAAAGAGGGGTAGGAGTCTCCTACTAGTTTATTTATTTTGTCCTCAAAGGCCGTGTAATGAAACAGGGTAAACCTGAGGGGCTGGCTCTGCTCCGCAGGCTGTCAGATGGGGGGCAGCCCAGGAGGAGAAACCACCTTTTACAAGGAGACCAGAGTCCAGGCTAAGAGTCTTTAGGAGGAAGCGGTCTAACCCATGGGGAATATCCATCCCAACAGGCTTCAGAGTGACATGGGAGGATCCTGCCCTTCTGTGCCTCAGTTTGCTCATCTGTTAAAGGGGGCAATAGCAAAGTTGGAACGTGAAAACGCAGGGGAGAGCTTTGCAGAGTGTCTGGCTTACATTACACGATCACTAAAAGTTAGTTGTTAGAGTTGAGCATCACAGAGAGGCCAAAAGCAGAACGTGAACATTCTCTGCCAGCCTTAGCCGGAAGAAACAAGACTCGCAGATATTGGTAGGTCCAGAGCACACCATCTGGAACCCAGGCTGCCCGGGGTCTAATCCCCACATCATTGTTCAACCTTGACTCGACTCACCTGTGAGTCCCATTTTGCAGATGGTAAAAGTGAGTCAAGCTCAGAGCAACATGGCACTGCAGGGTCACGGAGCTGGTGAGTAGCGAGGTCAGGCTCTGAACCCAGGTCTGCCCTACGTCCAAGCGTCCGCCCTTGACCTCCACGCTAGATGGTTATATTAACCGCTGCCGCTGCCGTGAAAGGATGTCCTCTGACTTCTAACCACTCCCCTCAACAGGGCGGAGTGGATCTCCACTGGGTTGGGAACAGGAGAGGGGGAAGAAGAAAGAAAACAGCAAAAGTGACTGATCTTGTTTCGCTTTTGTTTTTTTCTGTTTTCCTGTTCCCCCACAGCCCCTCCCAACACTCTGAACTTCAACGCGGCTCATCGTAAGCGGAAGACGCTGGTGGCCCCCGAGATCAACATCTCCCTGGACCAGAGCGAGGGCTCCCTGCTGTCCGATGACTTCCTGGACACCCCCGATGACCTGGATATCAACGTGGATGACATCGAGACCCCAGATGAGACCGACTCCCTGGAATTCCTGGGGAACGGCAATGAATTGGAGTGGGAAGGTGAGGTCGCTCGTCGCACCTGCCCAGCCCCCAAATCGGACCCCAGCGCTCCCTTTGGCTTGGGGACCAGCTGACCAGAGCCCCCCTCCTCCATCCCCGTAGGCTCAAGGGGGACAGGTCTTCCAACCCGGGGCTCCCAGGACAGCTCCTGGGACTCCACGCACATTTTCTCATGGACTTGTAGACTTTGCTGGGAGATGTGTCTTTCACCCGATTCTCAAAGGGGACTGAGACCAGAGGAAGGGCCTCCCCCTGATTCCACAGGTGTTTGTGGAGGAGGTCTTGATTGCTGTGTAGGGGGCGGCAGGGAGATCGGGCGGGGGCATGTCAGGAATAGACATTGCCTGCCTGCTCGCGTGGCCATCGGAAAGCCAGGCTCTGGGTAACGGAAAAAATGTACACAAGATAATTGCACCTGGTCGTCGGTGCTGTGAGGGAAACGAGGTGATGGGAGAGGGCAGGGGGTTCTCACTGGGGCAATTCAGCCCCCTGCCCCCAGGGGACACTGGGCCATATTTGGGGACACCTGTGGTTGTCATGACTGGGGGAATCCTGGCATCAAGTAGGTGGGGTCAGGGAGGTGGCTCCACACCCCACAGCGCCTGGGATGGAGGAGGGGGCTCCACAGAGAATGACCGGCCCTCAAAGGTCAAAAGTGCCCAGGCCGAGACTCCTTGAACCAGGCTACCTGGGGGTGGGGAGGCCTCTTTGCAGGGTTGCCGGGACAGGCCTCCCTGGATGCGTGTTATTTGAGCTGACATGCCAAGGCAAGAGCACAGGTCAGAAAGGTGGCGGTGGCAGTGGCCATGGGGACAGAAGCAGAGCCACAGCACTTGCTGGGTGGATGTGGAACATGAAGGGGAAGAGGGCATTGAAGGTGACACCTGGGGTGTGGGGTCTGAGCAGCTGGGAAAACGGCCAGGCTATTTTCTGAGGCGGGAAGATCGCAGGATGACGGGTGGGAAAGAGGCAGATATTTCAAGCATGGTTAAGAATCCTGAGAAGCCCAGAGAGGGAAAGAATGTGTGCAAGGTCACAGCAAGAGACGGGCTCTACCCAGGCCAACCACCCGACTGAGCACTTTCCTGTGTTCCACGGCTTGGGGAAAGAAAAATTATTATTTAGGCGTGACTTTGGGACTCCCAGGTCCTCCATCTCGCCCAGCAGCCCCAATCTAACACCGTCTGTCAGCAAAGGGTAGGATGAGTGGTTTCGCCTCTGGCCTGGGGAGAGAGGAGAGGGCTCCGTGGCCACAGGCGGCAAAGGTAACCCAGAGAGGGAAGCTGGGATGAGGTGTCCAGACTCAGGTGTCCCTTCCGCTCACCTTCCACCCCCCCTGCCGCTTCCAGATGACACCCCCGTGGCCGCCGCCAAGAATATGCCTGGGGATAGTGCAGACCTGTTTGGGGATGGCTCGGCCGAGGACGGCAGTGCCGCCAACGGGCGTCTGTGGAGGACAGTGATCATTGGGGAACAGGAACACCGGATCGACCTGCACATGATCCGGCCCTACATGAGGGTGGTGACCCACGGAGGTAAGGCCACACCCCTTGGGCCCCCTCCTGGCTCCAGCAACTGGAGGCCCATCAGTGGTCCTCTCTGGACCTCAGTCTCTTCTTCTGACCCAGGGGGATGTTAAATTAAGCCCTAGTGTCCGGGTGTGCAGGGGTGAAACTCGCAGGGGGGCAAGGCATAGACGTGCCAGATGCACACCGGAGATGTCTACGAGGGTGGCTGGCGTCCCCCACCAAAGGCGGAGACAGGTCAAGCGTTGGCTGGCTTCTCCAGCCAGGCTGCTGTGACTCAGAGCTGTACCCTCTGAGTGTGCGCAGTGGGTGGGAAGGGGCTGGCCAGCGACGAGGCCGCTGCATGGGGCAGAGCAGGGGACGGCTCAGAGCTGGGAGACGGCTCTACCCATCTCTGGTTGGGGCTGCTCACTCACTGGCCGCCTCTCCCCAGGGTACTACGGGGAAGGTCTCAACGCCATCATCGTCTTTGCCGCCTGCTTCCTCCCAGACAGCAGCTCCCCCGACTACCACTACGTCATGGAGAACCTCTTCCTGTAAGTGGCCCACCCGCTCCGTCCCAGCTGCCCACAGTTCTGAGGGTCCCACCCGGTGGGCAGGACCATGCTGCAAGAACCACGTTGGGTGGGGGGCTCTGCCCGGCACCAGGGAAGGGCTGGGCCGCCAGCAGACCTGCATCTGAGTCCCCTGCTCGCCCGCTGGGCCTCACGGGTGCAACTGTCATCATCCGTAGCAGTTATGGAGCATTTACTACGTGGCAGCCACGAAGTGAAGGGCTTGGTGTGTGATAACGAATTCCACCCTCGACAGGACCCTGTGGATTAGTTATGTTGCCTCCCATTCTGTGGCTGCAGAGCCTGAGGCACAGAGAGGTTAAGTCACTTGCCCAAGGATACACAGGTACAGTTTTATTATGATGGAGACAGATAATATGGATAAAGCGCCTGGCAGATGACAGTAGGAACTCAGCAAATTGTTATCACCCTTATTATCATCATTACGACGATTTCCTTCTTACACAGCGGGGCGCGGGGCTTGGATGCCAGGTGGGGCCAGAGGACAAGGAGGTAGCCATGGAAGGTCAGATCGGAAAGTGGCCTGAGATACCAGGGAGCCCAGTCTCCCCAATCTACAGATGGGGAATTAGAGGCTGAAAAAGAGGAAAGGATTCTTCTGGGACTTCCCTGGTGGTGCAGTGGGTAAGACTCACGCTCCCAATGCAGGGGGCTTGGGTTCGATCCCTGGTCAGGGAACTACAACCCACATGCATGCTGCAACTAAGAGTTTGCATGCCACAACTAAGGAGCCGGCGAGCTGCAACTAAGGAGCCTGACTGCCACAACTAAGACCTGGTGCAACCAAATACATAACTAAATATTAAAAAAAAAGAAAAAGGGGCTTCCCTGGTGGCACAGGGTTAAGAATCCGCCTGCCAATTCAGGGGACGTGGGTTTGAGCCCTGGTCCAGGAAGATCCCACATGCCGCGGAGCAGCTAAGCCCGTGCGCCACAACTACTGAAGCCCGCACACCTAGAGCCCATGCTCCGCAACAAGAGAAGCCACCGCAATGAGAAGCCCGCACACAGCAACAAAGAGTAGCCCCGACTCGCCACAACTAGAGAAAGCGCATGCACAGCAACGAAGACCCAACGCGGCCAAAAATAAATATATAAAATTTTTAAAGAATGTTGTTTGAAAAAAAAAGAAAGGATTCTTCTGAAATCACTTAGGGGGAGACAGGGCTGGGACAGACCCCAGGTCCCTAATGTCTGGTGCAATGGACTGTTGGCTGTGGGTGCCTGTTCCCCAGGTGTATCTGGGGCTATTGAAGCCCACCTCCCAGAATTATTGGAGACCATGCATATAAATCGCTTAGCATCTAGTAAGTGCTCAATAAAATAGTAACTACTACAATCACTGTGCCCACTGACACAAATTTGGGGTGGGCTGGGGTCATCCCCCACCCTCCGCTCGGGCCGAGTATGCCAGGACAGCCAACAACACCTGAACAGGTGTGGCTGGCAGAGCCAGGGCAGGCGGAGGCAGAAAGGGCAGGTGCCCCAGGGGTTCAGTCCCGGGAACTGGGCTTCCTGACTCTGAGCCCCTCCGTCGGGTCCTCTGTCGTCTGCGTCCCGTGACCAGGTACGTCATCAGCAGTCTGGAACTCCTTGTGGCCGAGGATTACATGATCGTGTACCTGAATGGTGCCACGCCTCGGCGGAGGATGCCCGGCATCGGCTGGCTGAAGAAGTGTTACCAGATGATTGATAGGAGGTGAGTGGGTGGGGCTGGGGGACCTCCTCGGGATGCAAGGGGTCCTGAGGTCCCTCTGAAAGGTGTGTAGTGGTCAGCTGGGGCAGCTGTAACAAAGCACCAGACTGGGTGGCTTAAACAATAGATATGTGTTGTCTCCTAGTTCTGGGGGCTAGAAGTCTGAGATCAAGGTGTCTGCAGGGTTGGTTCTTTCTGGGGCCGTGAGGGAGCATCTCCCCTGTGGACACTTGTGTGCAAATGTCCCCTTTTTATAAGGACACCAGTCATAGTGGATTAGGAGCCCACCCTACTCCTATATGACCTCACCTTAACTAATTTCTCCTACAATGACCCTCTTCCCAAATGAGGGGGCTGCAATTCAACATGCCCATAATAGGTACTCAGAACCATGGGACCCCAGAAAAATCTTTCAGAAATGGGAGACGGTGTGGCCATGAAGTCAAACGCTCAGACTCTAAATTAAGAGAGACTGGAGACCAGACATCAGCTCTGCCACCTGCAAACTCTGCGAGGGGGCTTAGCTTTACCGAGATTCCACCTCCTCCCTGCCAATGGAGATAAGCATAGCGCCTCCTAGGCACAGAGAGAAGGTAACACCGGTTAACTGCTCCCTCCCCGGGGCTTTCCCAAGGAGCCCATCTTGCTTCCTCTGTCTCCCCACGCAGATTGCGGAAAAACCTGAAGTCCTTAATCATAGTCCACCCATCCTGGTTCATCCGCACCGTGCTGGCCATCTCCCGCCCTTTCATCAGGTAAGATCATGACCTGTGTCCAGATAGCCACCTGGGTTTTTGTGTGTCTTAGTTTTTAATCTGCATTTTCCAGCTCCTCTCTGATGAATCTATATTGTTGCGTTAAACAGTTTAAAATCATATGTATTGTTATTTAGTGTCGAATATACATCACGGGGTGGGGGGGTAGGGAGATGGGAATAAGTAACAACCAGCTCTCCCATATTGAATGTTGGATCCCTTTTAAAGTTTACAACCACAGCCCTGAAAGGTTGACTTGGCCGTGCCCGTTTCATGGATGAGGAAACTGAGGCTCAGAATATTCCAGGGAATTACCCAGAGTCACACAGCAAGGTCACCAGCCCACCACACGCCCTCAGAAGGAAGCCCGGCTCCATCCACTCTGGAATCTGTAAGGGAGGGGCATTAGGACGGCAGGAGGGGCTGACCCACTCCTGCACCATGATGTGGTAGAACGATACATGTGTGTTTTGGGGGTGCCCGAGACTACCCTCAGGTTTGATGATTTACCAAGAGGACTCACAGAACCCAGAAAAGCTGTTGTGCTCAGGGTTATAGCTGATTCCAGAGAAAGGATGAACACTGAAATCAGCAAAGGAAAAAGGTGCATATGGGAGTCCGGGAGAAGCCAGAAGGGAGCTTCTGATTGCCCTGTCCCAGTGGAGTTGTACCCAAAGCCCTTCGTTCTCCCTGCAATGACGTGTGACCACGTGCAGGAAGTACTGCCAACAGAGAAGCTGACCTTGGTGTCCAGGGTTTCCACCAAGGCGTGGCCACACGGGGATGGAGTGCCCACGCAGCCCCCTTAGTTCCTCAGTAACTGATATGATGGCCCAAGACCCCACCAGGAAGCACATCTTTAGCACAGACTATGGGCCCCGGGTAAATGAAGACGCTTACCAGACGGGACATTCCTAGGGCTTACAGGTGACCTCCTGTGAGTCTCAGGGGCTGGTTCTTTCTTTGGAATGTGCAGGAGATAGAAGCACCTGGACACACAGAGCAAGTGAAACAAAATTAGTCATGTTAAACGCCCTCATCAATCACATAAAAGTAAATGCACATTTAATGTAATATAATTCAAAACATTGAATTAAATGAAGACCCTTCATTTCCACGTTCCCAGTGAAGGATCTGTGATGAGTTTAATAGACGGGGTCAAACTTTGCCTTGAGAGCATCACAGCGCTGAGGCGAGGAGGCAACTTCCGATGCTCTGTTCAGTGACTCCCAAGCACTCTCAGACATTTGCACATTAGTGAAGTCAGGCCTTTAATACACTAATTATGGGTCATTTGTGCTAATGATGACAATTACCGGGCAAAACGGTAGACACACACTTCAGCCTAACAGAATTGCCTTCTGTCCTCGACATCCCGTAATTTGGGAACCGAAATTTGCCTTGAATGCAGATAATTCTCTCACTTTAGGTTGCTTTTCCTAGTTTTATTTTATTTTATTATTTTTTTGGCCATGCTGCACAGCTTGTGGGATCTTAGTTCCCCAAGTGGGGATCAAACCCGTGCCCTCAGCAGTGAAAGCGTGGAGTCCTAACCACAGGACCGCCTGGGAATTCCCTGGGTTGCTTTTCCTGTGGTGAATTTCAAAGGTCTCCTTTTGAGCTTTCAGGGAAATAGGAGGGGAAAGTGGAGTAAAGTAAGCTTCCCTGTTTAAAAGCCGAGGGATTCTGAGCTGCCACCTGGCCCTAGCCATGAGGTTCTGTGATTGTATCTCAAAAAGAACTCCTGTTTATTCCCCGATGATCTAAACATGGGCATGTGCCTCGCCCTGGACTGGAATTCTCCCTCCCGAGAGCCCTGCTTCCCAAGACAGAGCTCAGCTCACAGGCAGACAGCATCGTCACGTGGAAACCGGGTACCCATTTCCAACAACGGACATGGCAGCTTTACCATGGCGTCCTCACGATGTGATCTCGCCTGTATTTATAGCCCACTGCTCAGACCACAGGTGTCGCCCCTGTGCCCCCTAAAAAAACCTTTGCAACCAATCAGATCATCCATCCTCAGAGCCTCCCAGACCCGGGGTATTCAGGTAGAGTCGGTCTGAGACTCACTCCCTGTCCCTGGGCCCTTTACTTTTCTGTCACACCAACTGGAGGAAGAACTCATGTTCCAAGAATAATTTTTTTTTAATTAAGAAAATAAATTCCGGGACTTCCCTGGTGGAGCAGTGGTTAAGAATCCACCTGCCAGTGCGGGGGACACGGGTTCGAGCCCTGGTCCGGGAGGATCCCACATGCCGCAGAGCAACTAAGCCCGTGCGCCACAACTACTGAGCCTGTGCTCTAGAGCTCGTGAGCCACAACTACTGAGCACGTGTGCCACAACTACTGAAGCCCACACTCCTAGAGCCCGTGCTCCGCAATGAGAAGCCCGCGCACCGCAACGAAGAGTAGCCCCCACTCGCCGCAACTAGAGAAAGCCCACGTGCAGCAACGAAGACCCAACGCAGCCAAAAATAAATTTTTAAAAAAAGAGATGATTCTTTAAAAAAGAAAAAAGAAAATAAATTTCAGGGACTTCCCTGGCGGTCCAATGATTAGGACTCTGCTCTTTCACTGTTGAGGGCCCGGCTTCAGTCCCTGGTGGGAGAAATAAGATCCTGCAAGCTTTGTAGCTCAGGGAAGGAAGGAAGGGAGGGAGGGAGGGAGGGAGGGGGAGAGAGAGAGAGAGAGAGAGAGAGAGAGAGAGAGAAAGAGAAAGAGAAAGAAAGAGAGAAAGGAAGGAAGGAAGGAAGAAAGAAAGAAAAGAAATTTCAACTGCACAAAAGCGGTGGGGTTTATTTATTCCGGTACACATGGCCGCTTTGTGACTGTGGGAAAACCGTCTATCATTCCCTGATCAGTTACCAGTGGCCTCTGCTGATTAACCCGTGTATTTTTCTCTTATGGACACTGCGAACTGTAACATTCCTCATGGGTCTCCGTTTTTGCCGGGTGCCGGAAAGTTTGAGACGAATTCTTATCTAATCTCTAAAATTAGATGTAAAACTTCTTGACACAGTTTTGTAACTATGTGACTCTATCTTACTTTTTTTCTTTTCTTTATTGTTATTTGATTATTTTATGACTTAGCGTCCTGTTACATTCTCTTGGCCTTATATTTCTCATCCTTAGAAAAACTGACGTGAGGGACTTCCCTGGTGGTGCGGTGGATAAGACTACGCACTCCCAGCACAGGGGTCCCGGGTTCCATCCCTGGTCAGGGAACTAGATCCCACATGCATGCCACAACTAAGAGTTTGCATGCCACAACTAAGGAGCTTGTGTGCTGCAACTAAGGGGCCCACCTGCCGCAACTAACACCCAGCGCAACTAAATAAATAATTTTTTTTAAAGGGAAAAAAAAACTGATTTGACCTTGAAAAAAGTTTATTGGACATTTTACCAAAATTAGGTTTAAGGTAAATTAAAAAAAAATAATCACGAGTTCAAAACAATGCGCTGGTGACAAAGCACCTCAGTGGGTAGCAGATAGCCAGAGCTGGGGTTTGGACCGGAACAAGCCATTCATCCCAAAAGAATGTGGAATGAATCAGCAGTCCCCATGTGCATCTGTCTCGTGACCAAATGACTACTGCTGCCATCCAGGCAGTGGCGATTGTGCCAGAAAAGCATTCTTGGGAAGATTCACACAGAGGAGCAACTCCTGGGGAGGATGGGGCCTGGAGTCTAGCAGCATCTCTTTCCTCTCTGCTTCCTTCAAAGAATTTCCTCAGCTCAGCAAGGACTGGTGTCCAACACGTGGTTCAGGACACTTCTCTTCTTGCAAGGGGAGACCCCGGGTTCTGCTCTGTTCCCCCACTAGGGGCCAGGGGTGGAGGCTGGCACAGGTGGGGAGGGAAGCTTGGGCGAAGGTGCTTGGGGCATCCCGGAATACTGCTGCGTGTGCAACCCTGTCTGCCATCGCTCCTTCTGGCCCTGAGGGGCCACCCTGAGGGCTGGCTTTCAGATGTCTCCCTGCTTCTTCTCCCACCAGCGTCAAGTTCATCAACAAGATCCAGTATGTGCACAGCTTGGAAGATCTGGAGCAGCTCATCCCCATGGAGCACGTGCAGATCCCAGACTGCGTGCTACAGTGAGTGTCCCTGGGCCATGGGAACACCACCGCCCCCCGCACCTCCATCCCCATTGCCCCCGGGCTGCTCGCCTCTCAGCCACCTCTGATCAGCTCAACCGAGCTGCCAGGGAACCAGACTTGTGTGGGAAAGCAGAAAAGAAGGAAATACAGGGAAACAAGCTCCTGTGAAATTACAGAACACAGCAGGCCTGGCTATCTAGTGCAGGCCGTGGGCCATGAGCCCTGTCCCCCTGGCTTGTCTTTATAAATAAAGTTTTATTGGCACACGGCTACACGCATCCATTTACAAACCATCCACGGCTGCTTTCGAGCTACAACAGAATCGAGAGGTTGCCACAGAGACTGGCCTGCAAAACCAAAAATACGGATTCTCTGGCCCTTTACAGGAAAACTTTGCCCTGACGGAGGGGCCTGTAGACCAAACCCACGTCAGTGAGGGGGTCGCTTTATACTGGCTGTGTTCGGGGCTGATGCAAAAAATGTCCACTGAGCCGCATCTACTCCAGATGGTGGAATATACCAACAAAACAGATATCCCCTGCCCTGGGGTGGCGTGGGCGTGGGCAGGCTTGCAGGAAACATAAAAAAGACCAGTAGACCCGTCAGCTCCGGCTGTCCTTTCTGCTCTATGACCTGGCGTGTATTCAGATGTGACAGTGAGATTGCTTCCCTGTTCCCAGAGGGAAGGGGATTCCCAGGCTGCATCTCATGTGCTTTCCTTTCTCTCTCTTCCAGGTACGAAGAGGAAAGGCTCAAGGCCAGGAGAGAAAGGTCTGTGCGGAGTGGCCTGTGCCCGGGCCAGGTTAGGGCTGGCGCTGAGCCGGGCCCACAGCTGGGGGGAAATTGGTGGCTTCCGCTCAGTGGGGACCCATGTCATGCACGCATGTAGCTCAAGGCCCTGCCCTTCTCTCGAGGGCTTGGAGTCAGATCCAGGCTCAAATCCAGGCTCCCTCACTTAGTCACAGAGTGACATTAGGCAAGTGAAAAGTTCACAGCCACCCTGAGGGGTATTGTGAGAAATCAGGACCAATGTAACCCACTGGACAAAAATAGTAGACTCCATAGAGAGTCCTCCTAGTAATCCTGATGACAGTGGGGGCAACACAACCTGCTTCATGCTTGCCCCTGCCAGACTTACCCCAGAATCGCTTCTTCACTGACTTATTGGCTAATTTTCGAAAGTGGCAGTGCTCACAAAACTTCAGGACTATTTCGGTCCCACCCAGTTATGGAGCCCTTATACCATTCCTGTATCCTTTCTCATCCCCCCCATCCCCACCCGTCCGCCCCAAGAGGAGGGCAGGGCCAGGATTCCTAAAAGCGTCTGACAGGCTAGGAATCCGAGGCTCAGAGAGGGCAAGGCACCTGCTCAAGGCCACACAGCAAGTCTGAGAAAGAGTTGGGGTTTTCAGTGAGTCAAAAGCATGCCAGGCCCTGTGCCAGCCTGGGAGAGACTGAGGCGATTAAGACTGAGTCCTGGTCCAGAAGTTTCCTCAAAGGGCAAAGGGGAGGGTTGCCTCACCGAGTGAGGGAAGCAGATCCTGGGGCAGGACAGGTGATGTCGGCAGATGAGACACATAATGAGAAAAATTACGGCGGCTTCACACAGCGTCATTTAATAGTGATGAGTGTGAGCGGAGTGGAAGGGGGCGTGGAGGGCAGCAGGACCCGCCATCCCACGCCTTCCAGGGAGTTCTCCTCCTTCCCCTCCTCTCTCTTCTCTACTCCCTCCCTCCCTCCCCTTCCTCTTTCCTTCCTTCCTGTCTTTTTTTTTTTTTTTCAATACCTTTAGTTGCAATAAAATACACAGGACATACAATTCACCATCTTAACCATTTTTAAGTGCACAGCCCAGTGGCATTAAGCACATTCACATTGTTGGGCAACCATCCCCACCATCATCTCCAGAACTTTCTCATCTTCCCAAACTGAAACTCTGTCCCCATGAAACACTGACTCCCAGCCCCTGGCCCCCACCATCTACTTCCTGTCTCTGTGGATCTGACTCTCTAGGACCTCGTGTGAGTGCAATCAGACAGTATTTGTCCTTCTGCGTCTGGTTTATCCAACTGAGCATAAGGTTCCCAAGGTTCATCCACATTGTAGCAAGTGTCAGAATCTCCTTCCTTTTTCAGGCTGAGTAATATTCCAGTGTGCGGATAGACCGCATTTTGTTCACCCATCACCTCTCGATGGACACTGGGGGTTTCCACCTCTCGGCTGTTGTGAATTGTGCTGCTGTGAACACGGGTGTACAGTTATCTATTCAAGTGCTTGCTTTCACTTCTTTGGGGTGTATATAGACCCAGGAGTGGAGTTGCTGGATCTTATGGTAACTCGATGTTTCATCTTTCGAGGAGCAGCTAGAATCTTTGCCACAGCGGCTGCCCCATTTGACATTCTCACCCCACCAGCCACGCGCAGTTCCAATTTCTCCACATCCTCGCCAACATAGTAACATAACACATGTTCTACATTTAAGGTAGTAGCCATCCTGCAAACTCCCCTCGCAGTCCAGTGGTTAAGACTCTGTGCTTCCACTGCAGGGGCTGTGGGTTCGATCCCTGGTTGGGGAACGGAGATCCCGCACACCACGTGGTGTGGCCAAAAAAAAATTTTTTTTTTTTAATTTTAAAGGTAGTAGCCATCCTGATGGGTGTGAGGTAGTCATGTCTGTCGGTCTGGCTTTTTTCTTTTCCTCCCTTTCTCCCCACCCCCAGGTCCCCCTCTCCTCTGTCTCTCTGTCTGAGTTACGCTCCCCCCGCCTCCTGAGCCTTAGCTATGGATGGGAGTAGAGAGATGACAGGACAAGCAGGGCGCCCACCTTCCAGAATCACAGCACATGGGCTGCAGCGTCCAGGGAGCAAGTGCATGAGGCCCCTGCGGCAGCGATAAGCTGAGATAAGCGCCCCCAGGGAATGGCCCACAGCCCCCCCCCCCCCCCCCCACCAACCATCTGCGTCCATCTTCATGAACCCCTGGCCATCCCATCACGCAGTCCACCCTCTGGGCCCCCGCGTTTCCCCGGGCGCAGCCAAACCCTCTCCTGATCGCTGTCGGGCCATGGTGGGTCCAGACAGAGGGGCCAGTGGGAGCCGAGAGCCCCTGGGCCCACTCGGCTGGCTGGTCATCCCTCGTCACCTCTTCTGTCCCCAGCGCAAGGCCGCAGCCAGAGTGCGTCCTGCCCAGGTCTGAAGAGAAGGCGGAGGCGGGGCTGGCGGAGGACAGGTAAGTGTGTGCAGGTGGCCACAGGGCCAGAGCCCACACCCGCGGGGGGCTGCTGAGCCCAGGGAACCTCAGTGAAGGTGATCTGACATTACCATGGTGCTGAAGTAAGACCACCACTGGGAATCGGCCAGCATGAGGCCCATTCCATCGAGCCATTTTAATGTAAATTTAGTGCATCTGTAGTTTTGGGCAACCAGCACCTTCTCCAGTTCCAGAACATTCGACAGCCCAGAGGGAGACCCTGTACCCTGTTAAGCAGTTGTTCCCATTCCTATACTCCTCCTTTTTTTTTTTCCCCCGGCTGGGCCGCGGTATGAGAGATCTTAGTTCCCCAACCAGGGATAGAACCTGTACCCCCTGCAGTGGAAGCACGGAGCCCTAACAACTGGACCGCCAGGGAATCCCTCCTTTTTTTTTTAAATCCAGCAACTCTCTACTGAAAGTCCTTTAGTGCCTCACCCTGGGATGTGTGGACAGATGGCACGACCCCCTCCCTGGCCTCTAGAGGCCCCTCCCACCTTTCCTGTCTCTTTCTTCAGGTCTGCCTCCTGCATTTGACCCTTGTCGTACCCTCCTTCTCCTGTCCTTGAGCTCCTTGAGGGCAGCGGTTGCATCTTGGGACCACTGCCCCCTCCTCCTCCCACCCTGCATCCAGCACAGGCCAAGCATGGGGACCAGGGGCAGCTGATGTGCACGAGAGACCAAGATCTGCTCTCAGATGAAGGTTCCAGCTGGTGACCTTTGTGCAGGTCCCGGTGGATGGGTTCAGCCTTCTCAGTGGGTGGACCTGGAGCAGCAATAGTGATTTCATTTTGTGGCAGTGAAGGGGCTCAGCCATTCTCACGACTGCCCGTCCTGGCTCATTTGTTACACAGCTGACACGTGCTGACACTTGCTTTGTGCCAGATCAGGGTGAAGCCATATTGGCCCTCATGGGGCTCATGGCCAAATGCCAAGGCTCCCCAGACAGGCGACTAATGCTGAGACTCCTTCCTTTTCCCACAGGTCTGCTCTGGCCACAGAAGATCAGGAAACAAGGTGGGTGGGAAGCAGGGCGATCTTGGCACCTTTTTTTGGAAACATTCTATGTGGAACCTACCCTGGGATGAGTGCCTCATGACTTATTGTTGATGGGGGGAGGATGCTGCACCAGGGAGGCAGGGAGACCGTGGTTACCATGACAACAGGGCCTCCTCTGGGGCCAGGCAGCCGGTCCCTGCTCCACTCCAGCGGGGCGTCATTAACAGGAGGCCCCAGAGCTGAGCCACACAGCGGCCCTGACTGAGATGTCCACCCAGAGCCAGGCCCCCTGAAGCCCAGGATTTTACTCAGCCAGAGGGTGCACTGTCTGCCCACAACCTATCTCAGTGTGTCTGCCTGACTATAGATGCCAGGAAGAGCCTCCCTGTGTGTCACGGGTCCTGGAGACCACCCTCGGGGGCAGTGGTTTGCTAGAAGGACTCACAGGACTCAGCAAAGCTGATCTGCTGACAGTTATGGTTTATTAAGGTGGAAGTGTGGGTACAGCTCAAAGTCAGCAATGGGAAAAAGAGCGTGGGGTGGGGTGAGGGGAGACAGGTGCACGCTTCCAGTTGTTCTCTCCCAGGGGAGTTGTTTTGGGACAGCCCTTAATTCTCCCAGCAGCCAGGCGTGGTGATGCACACCAAGTGTCACCAACCACGTGTGCTCATTTGAGCCCTGGTGTCCAGGGTATTTACTGGGGGTCAGTCATATGCACGGTGGACCACCCACGTGGCTGACCTTAGTCTCTAGCCCCTCCAGAAGTTGAACTGATACCACATGGTCCATGGCTCCTGCCTTAAATCACATTGTCAGCATAGACTATCCAGGGTAACCCCAGGTCCCAGGCAAACAAAGATACTCTTATCAGGAAGGACGTTCCAAGGGCTTAGAGGTGACCTCCCAGAAGCCAGGCAAGGGCCAGACCTTCCTTTAGAACCTGCAGGGTTAATCCTTGACCACACACTCTGCTATAAATATGTTACATGGCCCGGCCACATGCCTTAATACTACCTATGTGACCCAAGAAGCCCCAGGCTGAGAAATAAACATCAAAAATCGTCTTAGAACAGTACTGCCCTGGGCACACTGAATAGAAGCAAGTTCTCAATGCATTTCTGACAAGACCATCTCAGTCCTTCTGGAGCTGAGTTCCCAACCACAGACACAAAACACGCGAGGAAATCATTCACCATGAGAAAAAGTCGGCGGTACAACAGATAGCAGCATTAGACCTCCTCCTGGGAATCCTCAGGTAGAGGTGATAAAAACAAGCATGTCTAAAATGATTAAATACATAAAAGAAGGAATGGTTGGGAGCAATGGATGGATGGACGGATGGACAGGTGGGTAGGTGGGAAGGTGGATAGATGGATGGATGGATAGGGAGATGGACAGGTATATGGGTGGATGGGTGGATAAACGGATAGATAGATAGGTGGATGGGTGATGGATAAGTGAATGAATAATGGATGGTTGGATAGGTGGATGGACGGATGGATGGATGGATGGATGGATGGGTGGGTGGGTGGATGGATGGATGGGTGGATGGATGGATGGATGGGTGGGTGGGTGGACGGATGGACAGATGGGTTGGTGAGTAGATGGGTGAGATGAAGCCTGCCTCCAGTCTGATCGAGGGCACCAGCCCTGGGGCCTTGTTCTTTGGCTGGGGCACCAAGGGAGAAGTCCCCTTCAGAACCATACCTAGAAAGGTGGGTGACAGGTGGCAGACCTTGAAAGGCAGGTGCCACTCTTGCTGCTGAGGGCACACTGAAGCCGATTAGATCATTCTTTTGGATTCCCCACACATGGAACATTTTCCACTTTCTTTACGTACAATAATAATAACTTGACTGTGTTTCTGCCTCTCCAGCATGTCCTGAGGTGACGTGAGCACAGAGGAGGACACAAAAGAAGATCCCAGATGCCAGGAAACCTCTGTCGGACGCCCTCTGACCCTGGATCTTGTCCCCACCTCATCCTGAGTCACAGTCTCCAGGGGGTGTCCGTCTCCTCCATCCATGTCTGAAACCCAACATCCTTTCCAGCTGCTTGAAAACTTTTTTTTTTAATGATGCAGTATTAGTGCGTTCTGGAAAAGGACCCAGTTCTCCACCCTCCCACACTCATGAGCTCATGGCCAAGAAGAGCAAGAAGCGTTGAGCATGGCCTGTGCGTCCTTGGTGGCCTCAGAGACCCCCCCCCACCACCACCACACCACTGCACAGAATCCTGGTCAGGACCCTTCTCTTGCTTGTCACCTGGTTCAGGTTGGAGCCACAGATGCCCATCGACTCCCTGGCCGGGTCTGGATTCCTTCTTGTGCCTTTCCTGCCAGAACGGCCCCCACAGCCCTGGGCATCTGGCCTGGAAACTCAACCCCCACCCCCAGCAGCGCCGTGCCCCCCGGGCACTGCCCAGCCTTTGAACTCACAGCTTTTCCTTTGAACAGCCCTCCCCTTGCCTCTTATAACTTCCACCTTCTTAGGGAGCATCGGAGCCCACAGCGCCAGTGAGGGCTGCTGATAATCATCCTTGTTCTACAGTTGTGAACCTACATCCCCCTCAATCTAGAACATTCTCAAGCCCCTTGAACGCAGAGGCCACGCCACAGGGCAATCCCGATCAATACCTCCTACCGAGGGAATGAGCCTCCCCACTTCCCTAATTTCCCCGACAACATGGGGTTGGGATGCGCCCCCTTGGGCTCCCACCAGGAACAGAGGCCGAGAAACCAGTGCTGAAATAAGCTCATCTCAGAAACGCAGATTGAGAAAAAGGAAGATACAGGGTACTGAACGTTCGAGTGTTACAAAGGTCACTGGGGAGAATTAAAACCAGCGGCCTGGATGCTACGACCACCTGCATTCAAAGGAAGCAGATATCCTTAGGACAAAAAAACCCATTTTTCTAATGCGGTTGAAACACCAGTCAGCTCGGAGCTAAAGGGAGTGAGTTCCCCATCTCTAGAGGCATTCAAGAAAAGGCTGGACGGTACTTGCACAAAGTGGCCCTCTGCGGTCCCCTCCAACCCTGAGAGTCTCTGTTTCTATGAATCTGAGCAAAAGTCGAGCAGGTGCATCATCCGGCCCCTCTTGCTGGCTCTGTAGCTGGCTTCTTAGCGGGTGTCATCCAGGTTTGGTTGACCCTCCCTCCCCCATTAATTTCCCAGTAGGAGATTCTTGGTCTCAAAGGAGATGTTGAATGCTTCTCCACCTGGGATATCAACGGGGTGCGTTTGGGGTTATCCCAATGGCAGGAGGGAGCCAGTGGCGTTCAGTGCTGAGCGAAAGGGACAGCAGTGCTTCCTGCATGTCAAGGAATTGTCCCACCCCAAATGCCAGTGGCTCCTGCCTTGGAAAATTCGGGGTTTCTAAGCAGCCTTGGACCTGCATCTTCTGGAACCCAGCACTGCTCCGGTGAGGCCAGGGCATTTGGGCGTCTGGTGGGGTTTTTTAATTTGTGTTTCTGCTCTGTTTCCCAAATGTCTAATAAAGGACCGGGACCATGTTCCAGGCACAGATGAGTTACCTGGAGGCTGAGGCAGGAGAGGCTGGTGGATGGGCCTCTGCAGGCTGCCCTCCGAAAGGCCACTCCATCCTGGGCCAGCTTGTCCCCCACCCCTGCCCAGAGCGCCTCCTTTTCTAAAAGGTGCCTGGGCATCTGCCAGGTCACCTCGAACTCCAGGTTCAGGTGGCTGGCTCTGCTCAGCTGAGAGGGACACGTGACCCGCGAGGCCCGCAAGTCCACAGTAGATGCAATAACTCCTGGAAAGCCAGTGTTCCACTGGAAGAGAAAAAGGAGCCCGGGACAGGAACAGATGCATTCCATCTAACCCGACAATTACTGAGCGGCTGCAGAGGCGACAGAAGGACGAAAGAGGCAGACCCATCCCGCCCTCAAGGAGCCTGCAGCATAACAAGAAATTCCAGCACGGACCCCCTGGTTCACCGTGGCCCACCGACCACCCCCTCCGGACCACCAGCAGCCATAGACAACGGGCAAGTGGAACCAAGGACCCCAACCCAACCTCAAAGCCCCTCCAGAATAGAGAGAGACCCCCGGGGTGGCTGTCTCCAGGTCGGCCACCTGTCCACAGGTGTGTGAAGTTCTGAGGCACAGCTCCGTCCATACGGGGCCACTGTGTCCTCGGTAGCACCTAGGGCTGCTACCCACACCCTCTGAAATTGGCTTTGAGAAAGATTTGTATCTGCGGGGCAGTTTTTGGCTGAAATGCAACGGATGTCGAGCCCTCCTTGTAAAGGAACATTGAGTTTTCCTCTTGTGACACATGGGATGCATCATAAGTCCCTCCCCCAAGTCGTAGTTCACACACCCATCCTTCCGACGACGGCGCGAGTTTTGTGGTTTTTAAAAACAAAAACAATTCATTCTGATTACTGTCGTGATATGAAGGCATCATTTCCATGAGCTTTGGGGGATTTTTATGTGAAATAAATAAACTATCACTGAGAAGGAAGGTTTGTGACTTTTGTCCACGTCCAAGGGACATGGCACTGGTCTTGGTCGCGGTGCAGAGGAAGGAGCTTTCACGGAATGGGAGGGGGCACAGCTCAATGCCAAGCGACCTTGGGCAACGTTGGGTGACTTTGGGCCATGGCCTATATCCCCTTGCTTCTATCTCCCATCTGCAGCATGGGAGCCCCGGCTGGGTTTTTCCCGAGGCCCCTTTTGGCTCTGCCTGTCTGTGATTCAGGTTCCTTTCCTGTCCCCATTCTTCTCTGGAATCAAACTTAGTCAACAGTTAATAATATTAATTACTAGTCTTAAGCAATTCTCCAATCCCCGGCAAACACGAGCTGGGTATCCTACAATTTATCTCAATCCTAACACTACCGGTTCGGGCAGACCTTACAGGCTAAGGGGTCAGCCCCACAAGATGGCCCCGACTTCAGACACCAGTCAATCTCAGGTCCTAGAATAGGGTACAATTCAGCAATAGTCAGATGGAAGAGATGTACAAGGCAAGGTGTGGGGAAGGGGGCGGAGCTTCCACGCCCCCTCTGGGCACCACCCTCCCAGCACCTCCCTGTGTCCACCTAGTGGAAGCTCTACAAAAAATGTTTAGGGATTTTCATAGAGGCATGATGGATTACACCACTGGCCATTGATGAAAGTTCCCTCCCTCTAATCCCAGGGTCAGTGGGGTCCCCTGGCCACCAGCCCCGGTCCTGTGATTATAGGGCGTTTCCAAAAGTCACCTCGTAGCATAAACTCAGGTGTGATTGAAAGAGCTTGTTATGAAAGCAAAGGATGCTTCCTTCATCTTTACTATCTGGAGCCATTTCAGGCACAGAGGACATAAGACCAAATATTATCATAAAAGGGACTTCCCTGGTAGGCCAGTGGTTAGAACTCCACACTTCCACGGCAGGGGGCACGGGTTAGATCCCTGGTCGGGGAAGTTCCACATGCTGTGCGGTGTGACAAAGAAAAGAAATTTCCAAAAAAAAATGTATATATTATAAGAAAAGATGTTCCCTCTTCTGATGTAGGAAATTACAAGGGTTTTAGGGGCTGTGTGCCGGGAACTGGGAACTAAGTCCAACTATGTTTCTTATTATAAATCATAATATCACAATAATAATAACAGTAGCAGTAATAATAATAGTCTGAGTCCAACCTAGCACAGGCCCCATGTTACTGAGAGGGGGGTCTGAGGCAGAGAGAGGGTATGTGGCTCACCTGGGGTCAGCCGGACCCTGAGTGATTGGTCTGAGGTCTGATTCTGTGCCACCCCCGGCCACCCCATTGCTCGGCTGGAGACCCACAACCCTCTGCCAGCTGCAGGACATTGGGGGCTGTGCCCCTCAAAGGGTCAGAGTGGACCCTCCCATGTCAGGTACAAGAGGAGTCCTCCCGTTGTCCCCGCCCAGGATTTTGGGACCTGCTGGTGGCAGGGATGCCAGGACAGGCGTGAGGTCCACACAAAGTCACCATCAGGTTGATGGCGGGAGCTGGCAGGTGCCAGCCCACCTGCCTCTGCCATCCTGCCCCTCTGATGTCCAGTGAGGTGCCCTTCACAGAGAAGGTCGCTTCACGGGGGCTGGGAGGGGGCCTCAAGCAGAGGGGGCGAGCTGGCACGAAGGCGGCGAGGAAGGGGTGTTGAAGATGGCAGAGCTGGCTCTGGGATCAGGGGATGCCCTCTTTGGAGGGGATGGACCCGCCCCTCTTTCCCACCCCACCAAGTCTCTGATTATCCTAAGGAGGGTCTTGCGAACCTCATTCATCCATTCGTTCATCCATTTGCTGAGCACTGGGGATCCCACAGGGCCCAAGCACCCCTTATGTTGCTCCCAGCCCAGTGGGGGAGTTTGACACAGGGAATCAGGGCCTCACTGGGGACCAGGAGGAAAGTCCAGGAAGGGTCCCTGGAGGGAGGGTCCTCGGTGACTGGAGACCAGAGAGAGAAGTAGCAGTTAGCTAGGCCAACGGGCGGGAGGAGAGGTGTCCCCGGCGGAGGGCTCGGCAAGGGCAAAGTCCTGGAGGCCAGACAGAGCTGGGTGAACCAGAAGCAGGAAAATGAAGGGCGGCGGGAGTGCAGGGTGGGCACTGGGGGGAGATTTTTACTATTAGTGGCATTCAGCACATTCACAATGTTGTGTAGCCATTACCTCCGGTCCAGAGTTTTTCCATCCCCACAAAAGGAGACCCCATTCCCATTAGCAATCACCCCCCCACCCCTCCCCTAGCCCCTGACAACCAGGAATCCACTCTCTGTCTCTGTGGATTTGCCTGTTCTGGACGTTTCATACTATGGGACAGGATGGTCACTTTTTTTTTTTTTTTTGGCAGTACGCAGGCCTCTCACTGCTGTGGCCTCTCCCGTTGCGGAGCACAGGCTCCAGACGCGCAGGCTCAGCGGCCATGGCTCACGGGCCCAGCTGCTCCGTGGCATGTGGGATCTTCCCGGACCGGGGCACGAACCCGTGTCCCCTGCATCGGTAGGCGGACCCTCAACCACTGCACCACCAGGGAAGCCCAGGATGGTCACTTTTAATAACCTTGGACCAGTGGGCTGTTTGAGGATCAGCAGGTCTGCACTGGGAGCCCATGTGCCAGGGTGAGCCGACCAGGAGGCCTCCCAGCAGTGCCCTGCCAGGGCCTCTATCTGGGCATGTCACCATCACCCATGGCTTGGGCCACATGCCCCACAAGGGGGCTCCCAGGAAATTCTTGCCACTGAAACTGAGCCGGAGGTCACACCCAGAGCTGGCTTTCCCCTGCCTACGGGGCAGCTGATGGAGCTCAGTGGAGGTCACACCCAGAGCTGGCTTTCCCCTGCCTACAGGGCAGCTGATGGAGCTCAGTGGCACAGGTCCGGCCAGGCTGAGTTGCCAAGAGAGGCAACTGAGACCCAGAAGGGGCTGGACGGGGGAGAAGGGGGTGGGAGCCAGTGGACAAGACCCCTGTCTTGGCCATTTGCTCACTCTGCCCCTGGTGGCCACCTTTGAAGTGAGGGTCACTGCTCCCAGTGATCTCTCCTGACTTCTGTGCCAGGTGAGTCCTGCCTGAGGCCACTAGGTGAGTCCATTAACCAGTTATCAACAAGGTCCATCACTTTCTGTCTCCACCGCTGGTTGGTCCTCAGCAGCTATCTTGGCCACAGCGGGTCCTGCCGGTGGAATCGGGGGGGTGTGGTGGTGAGGGAGGTCATGGCGGTCCAGACAGGGCAGGGCCTGGGCATGAGGACAGTGGGCTTCTTTTCTTTTCTTTTCTTTATTTATTTTTAGTTGTGGCATGCAGGATCTTTTTCTTTAGTTGCAGCATGCAGGATCTAGTTCCCTGACCAGGGATCGAACCCGGGGGCCCCCTGCATTGAAAGCGTGGAGTCTTAACCACCGGACCACCAGGGAAGTCCCTGTGCTTCTTTTAAATGCAAATAAGAATGGGGAGGCATGTGGCAAAGAAGAGTTGAAACAGAGGAAAGACAGCCCCTGGTCTGGGTTTTTACAAAGCTCCCTCTGTCCATCATACAGAGGTAGTTGGTTTAAAGAAAAACCAGTGCCAGACAGTTCAAGCTGTAAAACCGGATTGTACTCAGGAGCTACTGCAATGGCTCCACTCCTAACAGCACAGGCAAGCGGGTTCACAGCGAAGGAGCCGGTGGGGTCGGTGGACAGAGAATCACTAGGAGGAGATGTGAGGGGTAAGGGGGGGATTCTGGCTACACTGACTTAGCAGATTCTTGCTGAAACACCCTCGTGTTTCACCTGGCGGCTGGATTCAAAGATCTCCTGCCCCTCCCTGTTTCATTCATTCCCTCTGCTACCATTTAGGGAGCCTCTGCCTTTTGTGGACCCACCCTTGTTAGGCACCCGGGACACATCAGAGAACAAGACACATCTGGCCCTGCCTGCCCCGGAGGGAACTCACAGTGTGGAGGGAGGGAATGGGGATCCAGAAAGGCTTCCTGGAGGAGGGGACTGATGTCCAAGGTGACACAGGATGGCTTAGTCAAAGTTAGCCCAGGGGAGGAGGATTGGGTAAGAGGAGAGGGGTTCCTGGAAGAGAGAACAGCATGTACAAAGGCGCTGTGGCAGCAGCTCTGGGTGCTGAGGGACAGGTAAGTGATGGGTAGGGCAGGGCATCCTCCCTTCATAAAGACTCCTGGAGGTGGAAGCCCAAAGCCAAAGAGAGCCTCCCTCCCTTGGTTGGGGCCAGCAGCCTCCCTTTATAAAGATAAGAACAGGTGAGGCACAGAGATGCAAGGGTGGGGCCCGAGCTCCCCCAGGTGGCAAGTGGCAGAACCAAGATTCACATGCAGGATTCTTAACCAGGGCTTCTTAAAGTGTGTCCAGTTTGGGTGAGGGTGGTGGTTGCTGAGACCCTTTCAGGGGGTCTTCAAGGTCAAAATCACACATGAGCAAAAGATCCATTCAAAGTGCAAAGACAGGGACTTCCCTGGCGGACCAATGGTTAAGACTCTGTGCTCCCAATGCAGGGGAGCACGGGTTGGATCCCTGGTCGGGGAACTAAGATTCCACATGCCGCACAGTGTGGCCAAAAATTAAAATTAAAATAAAATAAAACAAAGTGCAAAGATAGACGAATGGCCTTTAATGGAGCAGAGAATGAAAGAGAACAGGCCACCTTCATAAACCTCTACCTGTCCAGTTCGGGTGCAGGACAAAGAAGACTACCCATGATGTCCTAAAAAGGCTAAAAATCCTCCTCTCTCTGTGTGAAGCTGGGTTTTCTTCCTATATATCAACCAAGACAACTATGGAAGTGGGCTGAATGACAAGCAGATGTGAGAATCCTTCTAAACCAGATGTGAGAATCCTTCTAAACCAGATATTAAAGAGACTTGCAAAAATGTAGAATATCACTCTTTCACCTAAAAATTTTTTTTAAATTTCAACAAGATGAATTTATTCTCTGACAGTTCTGGAGGTGAGGAGTCTGACACGGGTCTCACGGGGCTAAGATCAAGATGTGGGCAGGTGGGCTTCCCTGGTGGCGCAGTGGTTGAGAGTCCGCCTGCCGATGCAGGGGACACGGGTTTGTGCCCCGGTCCGGGAGGATCCCACATGCCGCGGAGCAGCTGGGCCCGTGAGCCATGGCCGCTGAGCCTGCGCATCCGTAGCCCGTGCTCCGCAACGGGAGAGGCCACAACAGTGAGAGGCCCGTGTACCGCAAAAAAAAAAAAAAAAAAAAAAAGATGTGGGCAGGGCTGGTTCCTTCCAGAGGCTGCACGGGAGCATCAGTTCCCGCCTTTTCCAGCTTCTAGAGGTGCCGCATCCTTGGCTCACAGCCCCATCCTCCATCCTCACAGGCAGCAGCGGGGTATCTTTCTGAACCTTCTGCTGTAGCTACATGTCCCTTCCCTGTGATTGTAGCTGGAAAGGTTCTCAGTTTTTTTTGTTAATTGAGGTGAAATTCACATAATACACAACTAGCCATTATTGTAAAGTATACGATTCAGTGACATTTAGTGCGTTCACAATGCTGTGCAACCATCACCTCTAATTCCAGAACATTCTCATCACCCCAGAAGAACACCATATAAGTAATTACTCCCTATTTTCCCACTCCCAGCCCCTGACAACCAGGAACCCACTCTCTGTGTCTGTGGATCTGCCTGTTCTGAACGTTTCCCGTCAATGGATCCACACACTGTGTGTCCTTCTGTCTGGCTTCTCTCACTGAGCATCGTGTTCTCAAGGTCCATCCATGTTGCAGCGACTGTCAGTGCTTCACCCTTTTCATGGCTGAATAATATTCCATGTGTGGATGGAACACAGTTTGTGTATCCATCATCTGTGGATGGACACTTGAGTTGTTTCTACCTTTTGGCGCCTGTGAATTATGCTGCTGTAAACATTCATGTACAAGCTTCTGTGGGCACAAATGTTTTCATTTCTCTTGGGTAGACACTTTGAAGTGAAATTGGGTCATAAAACCGCCAACTGTTTTCCACAGCGACTGTCCCATTTTCCATCCCCACCAGCAACACACAGGGTCGCCGTATCTCCCCATTCTCACCAACACTCTTTATCGTCCATCTCTTTGACTATGGCTACCCTAGTAGGCGTGAGTGTTCTCTCACTGTGGTTTTGATTTGCATTTCCCTGATAATCAGTGATGCTGAGCATCTTTTCATGTGTTTGTTGGCCATGAGTATATCTTCTTTGGAGAAATGTCGATTCAGATTCTTTGCCCATTTTTAAATTGGGTCGTTTGTCTTTTTGTTGTTGACTTGTAAGAGTTCTTTATATATTCTGGCTAGTAACCCCTTACCATATATCAATATATGACTTGTAAAAATTTTCTCCCACACCCTGCTTTGTCTTTTCACTTCCTTAATAACGTCGTTCAATGCACAAGACATTTTTAATTTGATCAAGCCCACTCCCTTTTTTTTATTTTAAAAAAATGTTATTATTTTTCATTAAAAATATTATATCTGGGGCTTCCCTGGTGGCGCAGTGGTTAAGAATCCGCCTGCCAATGCAGGGGACACAGGTTCGATCCCTGGTCCGCGAAGATCCCACACGCCGTGGAGCAACTAAGCCCGTGCACCAACTAAGCCCGTGCACCACAACTACTGAGCCCTTGTGCCACAACTACTGAAGTCTGCGCGCCTACAGCCCATGCTCTACAACAAGAGAAGCCACCGCAATAAGAAGCACGTGCACTGCAACAAAGAGTAGCCCCCGCTCCGCGCAACTAGAGAAAGCCCGTGTGCAGCAACGAAGACCCAACACAGCCAAACATAAATAAATTAAAAATATATGTATTATGTTTATGTGACCATGTAGTGATCGGTTGTCTTTTTTTTTTTTAGTTGCAGCATGTGAACTCTTAGTTACAGCATGCGGGATCTAGTTCCCCCACCAGGGACGGAACCCAGGCCCCCTGCATTGGGAATGTGGAGTCTTACCCACTGGACCACGAGGGAAGACACTGGTTGTCATTTTTTAAAGTTAACAAACCTTTAATTTTTCTCAGTTTTAATGTATAACGTGGTAAATATTATCCATGACGATAATCCATTTAAACAAAAGCTCCCCGGGGCCTCAGTCCTTTTCAAGAGTGGAAAAGGGGTCCTGAAACCAAAAGGTCTCCTCTGGTGGGGAGGCGGGGTGGGGCATGTGGTCCCATCCGGTCAGTAAGGGGGCGGGGATCAGCAGGGCCCTGCCTACCCCACCCCCTAGCTGCTGAGAGGCCTGAAGCCAAACGCAGTGACGCTAGCCCTCACGTGGGCGCCCGCTGAACAGCCACTGGTGTCACGCTGAGATTTCCTGGCGGCCAGGGTCACGAGAACAAAGCTTAAGTTCATCTTGGCATCAACCCTCTTGGAAAAGGAAGTCCCCTGTCGTGTGGTACCTCTGGGACTGGCCCGCTGCTGTCGCTGGAGACGGGGAAGGGGGGGTGAGTTCCTTTATTCAGCCCCCAGAACCGGCCTTAATGTCAGGGTCAGGCGAGGGTACACACCGGGCTGGATATTTTTAGGGAGGGAGGAGGTGTGGCTGGTTATCTGCCCCGTGGGCAGTCTGGCTAGGAGGGGGCAGGCGGGGAGGAGGGGGGAAGAGGCAGCGGGGTGACTTCCACCCGCACCCCCCTGCCCGGCCGACCCGTGACTAATTTAGGCAAAAGACAGCGTGGAGCTATTTCCATCCAGTGGGAACAGGTGCGGCGCCCCCAGCGCTCCCCGCCCAACACTTCATCGCGCAGCCGGCCGCGCTCCCCATAGGCCGTGGGCCGCCTCCCTGGGGGCGGCCTCCGGGCTGCTCCAGCCTATAAAGGCGCAGGGTTTTCTCAATGAAGCCGGGACGCACTGCGGGGTCGGGCCCAGCCGGGTACCAGGGAGTCGGGAGTTGGCCTGCCAACAGCGGTCCCCGCCGCCCCTCCGCGCAGAGATGAAGTACATTGTGGGCATCGGAGGGTGAGCGTCCAGGGCCCCAGGCGGACCGCCCCGCGGGGGCAAAGGCGCCGAGCTCTCGGGAGAGGCCGGCCGGGTGCTCTCCTGCGCGGGCCGAGGTGGCCTGGGCAGGAGGCCGGGGAATGAATGGAGGGCTGCCTGGCGACTGGTGTCGCAGGGACCCGATGCCCAAGGTCGGAGTGCGGGGAGGGGTCTCTGCCCTCTGTTCGGCACAGGGCCGGGTGCGGGGCCCAATTAAAAAATTCCAAATGTAAGTCACTTCCCCATGCCGCACCCCTGACTAGATTCAGGGGGGAATAGAAGACTTTATAAAGCCCAGGGCGACCTTCCTTAAGGCGCGCGGGGGGGTGGGGGGCGAAGGGGAGGAAGGTGGGGAAACTCCGACCCCAGGGAGGCACGTGGGCAGGTGCTGCGGGGTCCCCAGAATGGCACTCCCCTGGCTGTGTAGCACCTGCCTTTGCACCCACTTCTGCTGACCCCAGGCAGGGGCCTTGCCTTCCCGGAGATTTATTACCAGTAACCAGGCCTTTTTAAGATGATGCTCGGGAAGCATTTAGCATAAGCAGGGCTGGCGTGGCGCTCCCACCCGGGAGGTCGCCCTGGGTCCTCCCCCTCTTGGTTTAATGCTCCATCACCCTCTTGAAATTCCTAACAGAGACCAGGGCCCTCCATTTCTGCACGTTCTGTAGCCGGCCCTGAGAGCACGGTGTGTCTTTCAGCAACAAGTCAAATTAACATTAGGCATGTTCTAACCTGCTCCCCTTAATGTATGGGGGTCACCTTTCCCATTGGCCCTTTTAAACGGCTGCAGGTCCCCCCCTTCCACACCCAGCTTTCCACCCCTGATTCCTAGGAGAGGGACAACCAGGTCAAGGGGACACTCATTCCCAGAAAGGCCTGACAGCCAGCCTTCTCTGTCCTTCAGCGGCCCCAGTCCAGAGTCCTTAGGGTGACCATCCGTCCTGCTCTTCCTGGGACTGAAGGGTCCCCAGGATTTGGGACTTCGAGCACTAAAACCAGAGACGTCCCGGGCACACCAGGATGAGGTGGTCACCCGGCTTTGCCCATTACTTTTTTTAATAATCCTTTCCCTTTGTCATAAGGTGATTATCTCTTCCCGGTTTTGCAGTGAACTGCCGGTTTTCCTATCACAAATATCTTTTTCTCCCCCAGTTTGCACTTGCTTAACAATTTGGCTTTTTTTAAAGCCCTGCTGAGGCTAAGTCACACGTGGGCCTCAGTTTCCTCGAGCTCCGGGCACCACCTCCTGGGTTTGCAGTAACACTGGACGAGTCTGAACACGGAAAACAGTGCTTCCATGACCCCAGCCAAGGCTGTGTTCACTTTTTTGGTTGTTTGTTTTCATACCCTCTGCCCCCTTTCTCTGTTTCGTCAGGCAGGTGAGCACAGGCCTGTGCCTGGCCCCAGCGGGCAGTGGGCAGTAGTGGGCCAGGCAGCCCAGATCGGCTGATTAGAAAGCCTCCTCTGACCTAACATGAATAGAAATACCCTCTTAGCTCTACTGTTTTACAGGCCTGTGTTTGTTTTGCTTTGTTTTGTTTTTGGCCACGCAGCTTGGCTTGCGGGATCTTAGTTCCCAAGCAGGGATCGAATCACGCCCCCTGCAGTGGAAGCGCAGCGTCCTAACCACTGGACCACCAGGAAAGTCCCTACAGGCCTGTGTTTTAGATTTGAGTCTGATCCTGGGGGCCCCTCAGACCCGGAGAGGTCCAGAGAGGGGACCCAGGCAGCCTCACGTGTATGCTCTCTCCACAGCATGACCAACGGCGGCAAGACCACACTGACCAACAGCCTCCTTAAGTCACTGCCCAACTGCTGTGTGATCCACCAGGATGACTTCTTCAAGGTAGCTGCCCTGGCTGGGGACGGGGGGTGGCAGCCCTGAGAAGGAGACTCGGGAGTAGACCCCTCCCGGGGCACCCTGGGCTAACCTGAGTCGGGAGATCGAGGGACCGGCGATCTCGGTTACTGAGCACCTACTGCGTGCCTGGCACGTTCTCACAGCACACCCGTTCCCCATGGGACAGATGGGGAAACTGCGGTTCCCAGAGGGTGCGTGCCACCTGGGTGGTACCCTTTACCTCTGCAACTCCACTTTCCCATCTGCAAAATGGGCTCTGAGCCCGCCCTTGATGCTTTGTGGAGGGTGAGGGGGTAACTAGATCATAGATGCAAAATCCCCCTGCCCCTGGTCCCAACAGTCACAAGGTTGGGGAGGGGTTCTGAATGCCAGCCTGGAGCCCCCCACCCCCGCCTGGGACCTCGAAGCCTATGACTATCAGCTGCAGGGGGCCGAGGCAGGCAGGGGCACCCAGACCCTCACTGGGGGCTCTCCAGGCGCTGTCACCCCAGGGTGGGGTAAGGTGGGAAGGCGGGCACTGAGCCCGCGGCTTGGGCTCCTCTGTTTCAGCCCCAAGACCAAATAGCAGTTGGGGAGGACGGCTTCAAACAGTGGGACGGTAAGGACGGACGGCAGCCCCGCGCCCCCTGCCCTCACTGCCCCATGGCCCCCACCCCACCAACACTCACTTTCCCGCCCCCAGTGCTGGAGTCCCTGGACATGGAGGCCATGCTGAGCACCGTGCAGGCCTGGATGAGCAGCCCCCGGAAGTTCGCCCGTGCCCACGGGGTCAGTGTCCAGCTGGACGCCTCAGACACCCACATCCTCATCCTGGAAGGCTTCCTTCTCTACAGCTACAAGTGAGCATCTCCAGGTCTGGGCCCCGGACAATCCGGGCCCTCCCAGGTCACCAAGTCTCTATTTTGACAGACAACCTTGCTGGGTGACCCTGGGCAGGACATCGTACCTCTCTGGGCCCATCCAAATTGGGAGAGAGGGAGGATTCCATCCTCAGGGTGGGGGGCTAATGCGGGCCTAGTAGGAGGCTGGCCGATGCTGGTCCCCTCACTCATCCCTAACCGAATCAGCCCAGACAAACCGCCCCCCCCACAACCAGTCCTCATCACCCAGGAATGTCCCTGGAGGCCAAGGCCATGGGGGGTTGTGTACTTTGACCCACGGGCGCTGACCGGGTCCCCTACCCCTGCCAGGCCCCTGGTGGACTTGTATAGCCGACGGTACTTCCTGACCGTCCCATACGAAGAGTGCAAGTGGAGGAGAAGGTGAGCCTGGGGGCCCTGTCTGCATTCCCAGGTGGGACCAGGAAACTGGGTAATGCCTGCTGGACATGGCCACCCTGAAGCTGCAGGCTGACGGGCAGCAGGCACCTGGGTGGTCAGTGCTGGGTTCCAGAGGCCCATAGCCTGCGGCCTGGAGAGCGTGGCCCACCCATGCCCTACCCTGGGCATCTCCCAGGCCCGCCGGGGAAAATGCTGGAAGTTGGGGCACCCAGGCCCCAGCACGGGGCCCCTGAATCAGTGGGGTCCCCGTTCTCAGTGGTGCCACACCGACCTAGTTCCCTCACCCCAGGCTCTGCTTGTGGCATCACCCTTGGGCGACATGGGTGTTGCTCATTCTTGCCCATCTCCCTCCCCAGTACTCGACGCTACATGGTCCCCGACCCCCCCGGCCTCTTCGACGGCCACGTGTGGCCTATGTACCAGAAGTATAAGCGGGAGATGGAGGCCAATGGCGTGGAAGTGGGTAAGTCCCTGAGTAAGATGAGGCCAGCTCCTCCCCACTGGGACCATTTGGGAAACCTGAAAGTCCCTCCTCGAGTCTCACCACCAGTCTCTCTCGCTTTGGGCCCCAGAGGCTGGTCTGTTCCCGCAGGCTGACTCTGCAGGCCAGCTTCCTCCTGACCTGCAGTCCTCTGGTCCTCTGTGAGCTGGCCCCCCACCTCCTGGCAGCAGCCCCAGTGACCCAGGCCACGGTTGGGCCCCCAGGGCCCCTGACTGTGGCCTTTCTGATTTCAGTGTACCTGGACGGCATGAAGTCCCGTGAGGAGCTCTTCCACCAAGTCCTGGAAGACATTCAGAACTCGCTTCTGAACCGCTCCTAGGTGTGGCTGGAGAGGAGGGGCCCAGCCCCCAATGCAGGGACCCAGACACAATTCCGGCCACAGTACGGCCAGGCTGGCGGCATCCCAGCCAGACACTGCGTGACCATTTCCCTTTGGGGAAGTCTGTACATATGAGAGTGGAGGCCCCACTCACAGCCCAGCATCTCAGGGCCCAGGCATTCTGTCCCGAGATGCTTCTGTAACCTCGATGGCGGCTTACGTACTAAACCTGATCCTGTTTTTTAATCGTTGGGGTTCAGCCTGTTGTGTTCGAGGTGCTGAGAGGGACCCTCCTTGGTGCATTGGTGGCATCGGGGGGGGGGGGCGACACCGAGGGCTCTGGGCAGTTACAGTCTCCACCTGTTGGATCCATGGCAATGTGACCCTGGGTGGCTGCTTGAGGGTCTTTGGGTCTAGCTTCCTCAAAAGGGAGACTTCCTGCCAGCTTTCAGAAAACAGCGCAGCATGGCCCAGAGCAGGGGCTGGGAGGTCAGCCAAGCCTGAGGGTGCCCCTGACTCTTAGCTGAGCCCCGCTGTCACTGCACCCCGGCGCCTCCTCCGTGACTGGAGCTGACACCCACTTCTCATGACCCAGGATGCTCGTAAGGACACACTCCCTGTCCCAGGAACCACATCTCCCTGAGCCTTCCCTAGAATGTTGGTGAGGCAGTTTATCATATACACCCATTTCACAGATGGGAAGACTGAGGCTCAGATATGGTCAGTGGCTTGGGAGCTGGTATTTGAACTCAGGTCTCCTCAGACCCTGTTCTTTTCGCCCAAGGGAGTTTGGAAGGCTCCCGTGGAGCCTGAAGACAGGGCGGGGAGGGGGAGGGTGGACGGAGTAGGGGCAGACAGGAGGAGGACAGGGTACCCCTTGACCTGAGGGTGATACCCCAGGGCCAGCCGTGGAACTGTAGCCACCCACCCCACTCAGTCCAGAAGGGCAGGAAAAACCTGAAGTGTAGACAGTTTTGGACAAAGCCATTGAACATTTGGAAATTATGGGGGAAAAAAAAAAACAATTACCAATTAGCAATTCCACTCCTAGAGAAGATAACCAAAAGGATTGAAAACAGGTGTTCAAACAAAAACTTGTACATGAATGATTCAAAGTAGCACTATTCACAGTAGCCAAAAGGTGAGAACAACCTAAAAAGTCCATCAAATGATGGATGGATAAACAAAACGTGGTCCATCCACACACGGCCTTAGGAAGAAGGAAAGTCTGACACTCAGTACAACATGGATGAACCTTGAGGACATGATGCCCAGTAAAATAAGCCAGACACAGAAGGACAAATACTGTCTGATTCCACGTATATGAAATGTCCAGAACCGGCAAATCGACAGAGATAGAAAGTAGACTCATGGTTGCCAGGGGCTGGGCTTCGGGGGAAGGCGGGGTGCGGGAGTGACTGATGATAGGGACAAGGTTTCTTTTTGGGGTGATGGAATGTTCTGGAATTAGAGGTGATGGATGGTTGCACAACGTTGTGAATGCACCAACTGTCACTGAATTGTTCACTTAAAATGATTAATTGTATGTTATGGAAATTTCACCTCAATAAAAAGAAAAGGAAGGGATGCAGGGAGGGAGGATCAGGGCACAGGGGCAGTGAGGGTTCCGTGTGCTTTCATGTTTGTCGGTGGCAAGAAGGCTGTGGGGCGAGGAGTGTGGGTGTCCAGAACCCTGCCCCTCACTTGCCACACAACACTCCCACTGTCCTCTGAGCTTTCTGCAGTGGCATCCATGGAGTGGGGTCTCCGTGTGCCCCAAGGCTCCCTGCCCTTCACCACAGAACGGGCTGGGCAGCAGGTCGGCGCTACACGTCCTGTCCTGCCCTGGACTCGGGGTCCCAGGCTCCTGGGAAACTGCTCACTTCCTGTGCCCCAGCTGCGGGGAGCCTCCTACTCAGCTGCTGTCCCTTCTAAACACAGCCTTCCTGCCAACAGAAATCACCTAGCGGTGCAATCACCACTGCCCTTTGCCCCTGTGGCCTCACAATACACCACAGAGCAAAACACAAAGGAGAGAGTGGTAAGCAGATGGACAGATGGACGGCAGCAGAGCCGGGAGGCCCCGCTGGGCCTGGGGCTCATCCCTGGCACTAGCTTCAGCTAAGGCCTCATGCAGCCCCTTCCCCACCAACCCGAAGACCCAGTGCAGATCACTAGTAGGGTGACCAACTGTCCCTATTTTCCAAGTACTTTCCCTTTCCTTTTTTTTTTTTTTTTTAATACGTTGCGTGCCTTGCGGTATCTTAGCTCCCCGACCAGGAATTTGAACCTGCGCCCTTGGCAGGGAAAGCGCGGAGTCCTAACCACTGGACTGCCAGGGAATTCCCATCCCTTTACTTTAGCATGGAAAGTCCTGTTTCCCCAGAAATCCCTCAGAACCAACCAACCGAGATGGTTGGGCACCGTATCTGCTAGTCTGCTGGGGGCTGCAGAACAGAGGTGAAAGGGCCCACAGGCCGAGAGTCAGGAGGGGCTGGGTTCCCATCCCTCCCAGGCCATTGACAAGCTGTGTACCTTATGGCTCAGAACACCATGTCCTGGTATGTTTGAGCAGGATTTGAATCTGTTAAGACTCTCCTTGCTTCAAACAAACAAAACCAAAAAGCAAACGACACTATTATGGGCTGAATTGTGTACACTTAAATTCGTATGTTGAAGCCCCTGACACTTAGGACCTCAGAGTATGACTGCATTTGGAGGTCACTAAGTTAAAGTGGGGTCATGAGGGTGGGCCTTAATCCAGTATGACTGGTGTCCATATAAGAAGAAGCTGGGACACACCGAGGGAAGACCATGTGAGGACACAGGGAGAAGATGCCCACCTGTAAGCCGGGGGGAAAAGAGGCCTCGGGAGGACGAACCTTGCAAATCCAGAGAGACAGAAAGCAGACTCGTGGTTGCCAGGGGCTGGGGAGGGGTGGGGGGTGGCTCCTAGTGGGGATAAAACATTCTCAAGTTTTTTTTTTCTTTTTTCGGCCATGCCACGCAGCTTGTGGGATCTTAGTTCCCGGACCAGGGGTTGAACCTGCGCCCTCGGCAGTGACAGTGCAGAGACCTAACCACTGGACCCCCAGGGAATTCCCAAAATATTCTCAAGCTTATCGTAGTTGATGGTTGTACAACCCTGTGAATACACCCCAAAAACTGAAGTTTACACATTAAATGGATAAATTGAACGGTATGTTAATTCTATGTCAATAAAGCTGTTTTTTAAAGTCCTCTGGGCCGGGAATTCCCTGGTAGTCCAGAAGGACTCAATGCTTTCTCTGCCGAGGGCCTGGGTTCAATCCCTGGTTGGGGAACTAAGATCCCACAAGCCTCGAAGCCCCCCCCCCGCAAAAAAAATCACCCAATGTGACTTTTATTTTATTCGGTGGCATTTCCAACACTTGTGACTTTAATAAAAAATGTACAAAAAAAATGTACAAATGACCATATACTCGCTAACAGCACGTAACTGTCACGCTAATAAATTAGTGCCTGCTTTAACGGGGCACTAAACATTATTCACTCAACAAACGTTTATTGGGTGTGTAGTACTTGGGGCAGCAAAGTATGGCCCATGGGCTAAATCCAGCCCACTGCATGTTTTGGGATAGCCCTCGAGCTAAGAATGGCTTCACATTTTTAAATGGTCATGGGAAAAAATAACAAGAAGAATTAAGTTTCGTGACAGATGCAAGTTACATGGAATTCAAATTTCAGCATCTATAAATAAAGTTGTCTTGGCTGGCAGCCACGCCTACTTGAGTACGTGTCAGCTGTGGCTGCTTTCAAGCTACACGGCTGAGCTGGGGGGCTGGGGTAGAGACCCTCATGTCTACATGGCTGAAATCACTCATTTCCTGCAGCGTCTGCTGATGGCTGCAGTGTATGCAAGGTCTGGGGTGGAGGGTGGCGGGACGAGCCCACTGTGTCCTGGAGGGCAGGTGGGAGCTGGTGCAGGGCGTGGAGGGAGCCTCGGACAGCCTGCCAAGGCCTGCCCTTTGTCACGGTCACGGAGCACGGTGAGGCTGATCCTCTGGTCACCAGGCCCGAAATAGTCCAGGATGGGATAGGGACACGGGAGAGGTGGCTCCGGGGCAGTCAGAGCCCTGCCTGGCCACCAGACACCTCGGTCACTATAAGAACAGTAGCGAGATGGGGGACCACCTCATCCTGATTGCACAGCACTTTCCCAGTTTCAGCACTGAAAGTTCCCCATCCTGGGAAAGGCCGGGCCCAGGCAAACTGAGACAGTTTGTCACCCAGATCGGGGCTGACCACCTTGAGGGGTCGGATTATTCTATGACCCGCCTCTCTAGGGCTCAGAGAGGAAAGGGACCTGCCCAAGGTCACTCAGCACAGCTGAGATCTGAACACGTCTGTCAAATGCTGACCCAGGACCGTCTCCAGCCAAGGAGGTGTGCCAGGCGGCTCACCCTCGCCCCATCCGCCTTCAGTACCCGTATCCCGGGAAGATTCTCTCACTCCTCTCACAGCCACCTGATGGGCCCAGTGAATCCGGCCCCACCTGCCCCTGGCTGGGCAGCTCTGGGCACAGTGTGGACTCCAGCTGGGCTAACCTGTGCGTTTCCTGCAGCCCCTGCCCTCCCCAGACAGAACCCCAAGACTAACCTGATGTGCCCCTGTCACATCCACCAAGCACCCCCTAGGTCAGTGCCTGGCGGTCTTCCCAGGCCCCAGGACGGGACACCCTAAGACCGGGCAGCCTAGAGCGTGAGTGGGCGGCCCCAGAACCCGGCCGCCTCAGTCCCTCCCTAGAGAGAGATCCCGGGGCAGGTAACGTGCCACCTGTGCCTCAGTGTCCTCCCCTGGGCTTCGGATGCCCGTTGCTGCTGGGTTTTTGTGGCAGGTGTTGCCACTCACTGGGACAAGGAGCTCAAGGCCCGCCCCCCCGCCCCAGGCCGGCCCCCAACCCCGGTGAGGGCACTCACACCTGCTGGACCCCTGTCCGGTGTTCGGGATGGGGGCTGGGAATTGTCTCCCATGCTCCTGTGACCAGTACAACCTACTCCTTTTCCGCAGATGAGGAAACTGAGGCTCCCGGAGGTGGAGTCCCTTAGCTGCAGGCCACAAAGGAAGGAGACAGGGTTCCAGGCCAGGCTGGTGCGCCTGGGACGCAGCTGTGCCCACTGTCCTGCCTGGGCTGGCGGCAGGACCAGTCACCGCCAGGCTCCCCTGCGACCCCAGGCCCAGAGGAGGCCCCCCAGCTCCCGATGCCCCCAGCGCCTCCCTCCGAGGTCCCTTCTGAGGCCGTTCGTTCTCCTCCCACCCTCGTGACAGGGCTGGGGCCGCAGACTCCCCCATAACTACTATGGTATTTATTAGTTTTCTTTATGAGTCTCGCTCATTTTATTGATTTTAACTAAATTCATTGGAAGAGGAAACTTCATGGCCTTGCTGTGGATGGGAAACCTTGAATTTCCTGAAAGCACGTCGCTACAAACACTAAGAATGCCTGCCCCCCATCCCTCCCCTAAAATCATCCCGGGGAGGCCCAGGGATAAGCACTCCCCCTTCCCGGAACGCTGAAGGCTAAGAACAACCCCAGGTCAGTGCTTCTCACCTGGGGGCGACTCTGCCCCCCGCCCAGGGGACACTGGGCAACGTCTGGGGACATCTGTGGTTGTCACACTGGGGGACTCCTGGCATCAAGGGGGTGGGGGCCAGGGATGCTGCTCCACACCCCGCAGCGCCCAGGACAGGCCCACAGCCAAGAACAATCCAGCCCGAATGTCAGCGGTGCCGAGGGGAGACACCCTGGACTAAGGGCAGAGAATTGGCTCAAACCCCCATCCCCCTGGGACTCCCCTGGAGGCGCAGTGGTTAAGAATCTTGCAGGGGACACGGGTTCGAGCCCTGGTCCGGGAAGATCCCACATGCTGCAGAGCAACTAAGCCCGTGAGCCACAACTATTGAGTCCTCGTGCCACAACTACTGAGGCCTGCGTGCTTAGAGCCCGTGCTCTGCAACAAGAGAAGTCACCGCAAAGAGAAGCCCGCACACCACAACGAAGAGGAGCCTCCGCTCACCGCAACTAGAGAAAGCCCACGTGAAGCAATGAAGACCTAAGGCAGACAAAAACAAATTAAAAAACAAATTAAAAAAAAAACGCCCCCTGGAGGCGCCCTGAGTGGGACTCGATGTGCAGAGAAGGCTGAGAGCCCAGGATTGGACAGACCCTGACACACACCCAGGTGACACACACACACTCACGTGCCAGTCATCCTGTGGCTGACACCTTGCTGGGCCAAGTCATTCCCCACCCCCGGGAAGTGGGCCTGGCCTGCCCACACCAGAGAGCTCACTCCATGGGGGAGGAGGTGTGGCCTCGGGACTGCTGGGGGCCCAGGCAGGTAGGCGGGACCCCACGGGCCTCTCGCTGGAACCTGGCTCCTCTGAGGCCACCCCAATTCGGAAGCCTTGCCAGGGAGACCCTACCCCACCCCAGCTCACCGCATACAGACAGGCGACCTTCCATGCGAAGCGTCCTCACATGGGCCCCTGGACAGTCCCCCCACCAGAGATCAGCCCTGGGGCCCTTCCCCAAATGTCCTAACAGCCATCGGGGGAGAAAGATGGAGGGAGAGGCTCCAGGCGGTGGGGCAAGGCTGCAGAGCCGGCTCCCGGGGCCCTTCTTTCCTCATTCTATTTCAGCACCCCCCCAACCCCAAGCACTTGCCACTCACGTCAAGTAGCACTCAGGGGCCATCTTAATCAGCAGTTACTCTGCCTGCCCTACCCACGTCCCAACAGGGCCAGGGCGGTCACCTCCAAAGGCTGCCTCCACCTCAGGTGCCGTCTGCCAGGCCCCCGAGGGGGCATCGTTGGGGCAGACTAGGGGGCCAGCCGGTGCCTGGGGGAGGAGCAGGCTGACCGGCACAGACAGGGGCAGCCATATGCCCTCCGCTGCCACTCAGGAGCCCCCCCCCAAGTCCTCCCAGCACATTCTGGAGGGAGCCTGGGGCACCCAAGAAATGTCCTCATCACCTCCCCGTTCCCTTTAAGTTTGTCTTCAACAAGCCCGGGAGGGGAGGGGGCGCAGAGGCAACTTTCAATCATGCAAACAGGGCTCACTTCCGCAGGGGTCTGGGA